AAATGCTACCTCCAGACTTCTTTTCTATAAAATAAAAATATACTTTCCTCATGGATGGTCACTGTCTATGCAGATTTTCTGCTGTATGTAATGAGCCGAATTCTAATTCTATATATTCAATATGGAGGTCACCATATGTGCTCTTTTAAATTAAAGAATTAAATTAAATTAAATTAAATTAAAAACCCATGTCTCAGTCACACCGGCCAGATTGTCAACCTCAATTGCCACATGTAGCTAGTGACTCCTAAAGTGAATAGGACAGATATGAACCATTTCGGTCATTTCCAAAAATTCTGTTGGACATCACTGCCCTCCCTAACTGATATGAGTCACTTCCACAAAGGCTCTTATGTTTTTGTAAAGGTCATAAAACTACCTACTCCATGAAGTACCTAGTAGGATGTATTACTGAGTATATCGAAAGGGACTCATGAAAGAAAGGGCATTTCACATGCATGTTAAGGCTCACAGGGGAATCAAGATGTAGAAAGAGTGCTCCCTGCAAATCTGGAAAAAGAAAAGCACAAGTCAAGTTCAGAAGAGTCTAATTTCATTGCCGCAAAAGATGATTAGCTAACATTTTGGAGATGCTTGAAAATAAAGCTGAGGATTTGGTACTTACTAGGCAAACACTGGGGAGTCATGTTCCAAATAGAATGACACTGTCAAGACAGTTCTGAAGATGGGTGGACATGGGCAGAAACTGGATATAGTTTTCACATTAACACAAAAATCCAAACTTAAAGGTAACAAGACAGAACCCACTTGTGACCAAAGGAATTAAGGCATGAGGCATCTCACAGTAGATCCTCAAGGGTTTTCCAAATGGTTCTCAAGAGATGCCCATGGAGGGGAAGGAGACCAATATGTTTCAAGGTTTCTGGACATAGACACCAGGAAGAGGATTTAACTGACACAGGAGAGGCAGGAAGAGGAGCTCTGTGCAACTAAGTTTGAGGTAACTGGAGTGCATTTTCCTAAAACACCACACAAAAGTTTAGAAGACAAGGTAAGCCTGGAAATAAGATATTTGGGACTCATTTTTCTTGAGTTATAAAAAAGAAATACAAGTGGCAAAAAACATGAAAAAATGCTCAATATCACTAGCTATCAGGAAAATGGATATCAAAGTCACAATTCGATATCATCTCACCCCAGTTAGAAAGACTACTCTTATTACTAAATCCTTGGAGTTGAATGACATGTCCAAAGCAAGTACATGAGCAGGGTCCAGTGATCCTTTCCACTGTACAAAAATGGCTGAGGGAGAATAAAAGCACAATTCTCCCTCAAAACCTTATAAACTGAATATATACACAGTTAAAGGGTGAACAATTTATATGATCTGAAGAGAGACCAGAATGTGTGTGTATGTGTGTGTGAGTGCATGTGTATGTGCGTGTACACATACATACAATGAAGAGGAGAAACATCAAAAATCCTTAGGGAAAAGGAGAACAAACAGCTAATGTAAGGAATAGGTCTAAAACAGTACTGTCCAGTATGGTTGACACTGACCACGTGATGCTGGTGAGCTCTTACAAGTGGTACTGTGTGCCCCCGTTCTTCTTTTTCTTGAATGGGAAGGCCTCATGATTTCCTGCTTCTCCAGTATTTATTGGCTTGGAGGAAGGGAGCAGATGAGTTGTCCTTTTATGGGGGTAGAGACTACTCAGGGTATTTTTCAAAGTTACTCCCTCACCCCAACACTCAGGTACTCACTCCTGAGAATTACAATTGTAGATGTGGGAGACTATTATCTCACAACATTGCAGTGTTAGCCCTCATTTCATGACATATGTAGTCTGTGACTTGTTGGTTTACATCTAATTATGTAAAGTATCTTAAGTTGTGTACATTCCCCATATCTTAAAATATTCAAGTCTTTAAATAATTGATGTCCCATAAGCTCTTGGATGGCAGAGATTCTCTAATGACCATCACTGTAGCCCCAAACCATGCACATTTCAGGTCATAGTCCCAAAATACTTATTTACTAAGACACAGACTTTGGACAGTGTATAAAATCAAATGTAAATTTTATTTTATTTGTTCAGGTACAGTGGCTCATGCCTGTAATCTTAGCTACTTGGGAGGAGGAGATCGGGAGGACTGCAATTTGAGACCAGTCCAGCCAAAAAGTTCCAAGATCCTATTTCAACCAATAAAAGGCTGGGCACGGTGGTGCACATCAGTTATTCCAGGAAGCATAAATAGGAGGCTCACAGGCCAAGTCAGCCTGAGCGTAACTGAGATTCTATTTGAAAAATAACAAAAGCAAAAAGGGTTCATGTAGTAGAGCTCCCCCCTGACAAGACCAAGGCCCTGAGTTCATGTCCCCAGTACTGCTCCCCCAAAAAAAGAAAAACAAATTTATTTTATTTGCACAAGTAATATAATTTTGAACTGAAAAATGTACATCCTGTGAGCAATAAATATTGTCTAGTAAACTTCAAAATTCACCAGTATATGGATTTTCTCATTTTGAGTAGATTTGACTAATTCCCAGAAACACCAAAACCCTTCTGAGTATCATACATACAAATGACCAATTCAAATGCATGGTCTAGTCTTTCCATTTTATTTTTTAACATATATTTTATTAGCATGGATTTTTTTCTTTTTGGTGGTACTGGGGCTTGAACTCAGGGCTTCACGCTTGCTCAGTAGGCACTCTTCCACTTGAGCCACTCTGTTAGCCCAATATATATTTTATTGGTATATTTTTAATTGCTGCATCCTTCTATTTTGTTAATCATTTCTTTAAACATATATTTTTATACCAAATATATTTCCTACAGAAGCAGAAAGTTAACATACAATGCCACATAGTATTCAGTATTTATGTGTATTTTATGTTTTGGGAGTCAGGGGTTGATTTATTTACAGATATTTACTGAGTCACTGCATATCTATAATCCTTCCAAATGAAAAAAATTTGAATATGTGGGTCATTTCTGCATGTTTATGTAGAGATTAAAAGACATTCTAGCATTTCCTTAAAGATCTTAATATGAAGGTCAGAACTTGTAGTAAGTCATGACATACCCAGAGCAGACAAGCAGCCTAGTGAAACTTGAGTTCCCAGGTGGAGACAAGGCAGACCACAAAGGTGAAATTTTCTTCTTCCCATGGAATCAGAACTCTAGTGATCTTGCTTAGCTCTCAGGGCTCTCAGGCAGCAGATTCAACACAGATTTGTTTAGCAGAATAATAAACATTAAATGAGTGCCCACTGTATACCAGGTTCACAGAAACACTGGCTGCCATTTCCTGTAATAATCCCATTGAGAACATTTACTTTCCATTCATGGATAAGCGTGAATGTTCCTCAAAAAAGAACAGGATCCATTTTTGAAGGGCTAGCTTCCTCTTCAAATCTCAGTGGCAAAAAAGAAACCCTGCTAATTTAGCATTTTTTGAAGATTTAGACATCTTATACGCTTTCCTGTTGATGCTAGCACACTTTTTCTACACTCAGTGCTCCCAAGAGGGGAGATAATGTCCATAAACTATTTATGTGACTATACCCAGAAAGTTCCTCTGCCCCAAAAGTCATCACCAATAGGGGTCCCTCTTTTTAAACCAATAGTTCATTTTTGCCATGACCCTGGTGGTCATTGAGAGCACTCCAGATATGAATGTCCAAGCCCAAAGGAGAATGTCAATGTCAAGGCACTGCTAAAAGATTGAGACATGAGAACTGTTGAGAACCATGTCTCTCACTTCAGATGAGGGACCATGGAACCCAGAGGCCACACAGCAGCTCTGGGAAAGTAGGCCTGCTGGTGTCCAGGCCACTGCTCTGACCACTGACCCTTTCGTCCTTCCTTAGTTTTTAGTCCCATCTGGCTCATTTCTTTAAAATAAAAATAAAATCCTCTGTTGCTTTACAAATGTAGAAGTCATTCTCATATTTTCTCATGTAGCTTTCATGGCCATCCTGGGAGGTCAATCCCAAGTAGAACTGAAATGGCATGGTTAGGGCCACCTGACCTGTGACTGGCAGAGTTCAGACCCAACTTGGGTTTTCTCCCTCCATTATAGACTGGAGAAATAGGGATCCTTGGGTAACAGATTGGGTCCCTCATCTTTAATGGCTGCTGGAGACATATTGAAATCCTGCAAAGTATACAGTGACAAGATTTCGGACACCAAGACAGACACAGTGGGAGAAGAGCAAAGTAACTTGGTTATGGGCACATGCTACATGGAGTAAGGGTAGAGGTGCACCTTGAGTCACTGATGTATTCCCCAAATGGTCATTTGGCAACCCTGAATTGAGTCAGAATCAGACAGTGAGGAGAGTCACAGACATTTTTACAACATATGAAGCAAAGTTTGTAGCATAATGCTTTATGTCTGGCTAAGTGCAAAACTATGATTGACAGAAGTGCAATTAGGGAAACGCCATCCTTAGACAATTATAAACACAAGCCACAAAACCAAAAGTTCAGGAAAGGTGAGCTGTAGAGATTCCATAACAAATGAAAAGGAAATTTCAAATGCGAAGATTAAACAATCTGTTCTTCCCTGAAAAGCACCCAGAACTCCTAGGCAAGGTTTGGACTTGTTTCTAGGGCAAAAACAAAATCATAACTGATGTTCATACTTGATATAGATATCCACAGGTTTTCTTTCAACAACAGCCTCTTCATCATCCTTAGACTCACACTCAAGATGTTATATAGTTCCTGAGGATACACTCACTAGGTGGAGGGCGGTTGGGATGCCCCAAAACAAGAGGAGCAGAGACACCATGGAATGCAAAAGGACAGTCAGAAGCTGTCACACCAGCCCCAAAATGGATAAGTAAAGTGGGCATGTTTGACAAAACAATGGCCATGGGGAAAAAGGGACATGTCTTAAGCACAAGTCTGAGCTGGAAAAGAGAGGGGATGCATTTTGGGTTCCTAGTGATCTTGCTTACGCCCTGGCTATACCTAACTGACTTCATCTCAGGAGAAATGACAGCCAGAGAGAGGAGAACATTGTGTTTAATACCTGCTAGGGAACCTGCAGGTTATTCTGAAGCCATGGCAACAAATAATCTCTTTAAAGGTCTTCCGCATCTCTTGGCTGCGGAAGGCATATATCAAAGGATCGATCACAGAATTACACATGATGAGTATGAGGTACATGTTGAAGTGAGACATAAAGCAGGAGCAATAGATGTTCTGGGGGCATGAAATCATTAAGATGAGATGGAGGAAGAAGGGAGCCCAGCACACGATGAAAACACCCAGCAGCATGGTGAGAGTGATAGCGCCCTTCATGCTGGTCCTTTGCCGCATAGAACTGTATCTGGGTGCAGCTGCTATCCGCTTGACATGGGTCCGTGCCAGGAGGAACATGTGTATATACAGGGACACCATAAGGAAGAGCATGGTGAAGAACATGGAGATGAGGCAGATGATGACATAAGTGGATTTGTAGTAAATGATGAAAACGATGCCGCAGCCGGTGCAAAAGGTCCAGATGCATGCAATCACCACACACGAGCGCCTCGCTGTCATGATGTAGTGATAGCGCAGGGCATAGAAGATGGTGACGTACCTGTCCACAGCAATAGCCAGCAAACTGCACATGGAGGCCACCACAGAAATGCAGATCATGGAGTCAAACACATTGTCAATGTGACGCACAAAAGTGTCCGCTATCACCAGGAGTTTATTATTGATCAGGTAGATGGTAATGGTCTCCCAGGCATTGGACGTGCTCACCAGCATGTCAGCTACTGCTAAACTGCACACAAAGAAGTACATGGGAGAGTGCAAGTTCTTGTTCTTCACTATGGCACCAACCACCAAGATGTTCTCCAAGAGGCTGACAAGACCCAGAGTCAGAAAGACCTCCACTGCGACACCCATGTCTTCGCATGGTGACAGCTTATTCTTCATATTTGGTCCTGAAAAGTTGCCCTCAGTGGTACTCAGGTTGAGATTCAAGAAATGCAGGTGAAATGAGGAATTCATTGCTGGAGGAAATGCTTCCACTTCTTGGCAGCAAATTTACTGTAAAACAGGATTTTTTTTTCATAATCTGAACAAGTTAAGAGTATACAAAAACAAATAAGCAAATAATCAAAAAAAATCAGCATGCCAAAATCAAGTACAACCTAAGGGGGGGAGGGGAGGATAAGCAACACTCTTCAGAGGGATGAGCCATTTATCCCATGCAGCTGTATTACCAACCTGGAATACTGTCCCTCCAGCTTTTCCATCAACCTCTTCTCTTCCCTGTAAACTCACATCCTTTCACCTACCTCTTTACGGAGTGACATTTGTCTCTATGCCAAGGACAGTTTCATGTTTCACACCTGTTGTCCTGGCATCCACATTCGCTCTCAAAAGTGTCCCCTGTGATCTCTAAAACTCCCATAAAATGCCAGGGACTCTTCAGATTTTCACATTCCTAAGGCTACTTCCTTACCAGGTTTTCCTCAAGTTAACTCAGATTTCCAAATAATTTACAGACCTACAGTCTCTTAAGGACAGATATCGCATTGGCCCCCCAGGGGACCTCAAAGTTACTGGACCACTCCAGTAACTGTAGCTAAGACAGTAAAAAAAGAAAAGAAAAGAAAAGAAATTTAAAAAACTATGGTTACCTTGAGCATAATCACACACAAAAGTTACTGTTCTTAATTTGTAAGCTGGTATTGGAACACATGTCAAAGTTGAGGGAAACAACGGTGTTTTCCCTCAACACTTTCCCCTGAATTCTCTGCATTATATGAAATTCCATGAAGTCTGATTAATAGTTTTATATGGTCCCCATGAGCACAGTATGAAGAAACAAACGATTTACATTTATGAAATAGTAAAGCACGACACTTTACTCCTTTGTCATTCAATTCCTGTCCCCGATTTGTATTCATAAATCCCTTTGCCCTCCAAACTCAGAGCGCATGTGGGGACAGAGCCGGAATTCCTGTCCTCATTCTCAGGGTTACTAGTTAGTGATCATCGGAAGCATGCATTGAACTGCGATAGTTTGTTACAGATTTGTGTCCAGTCGGTCTCAGAGATACCGTCCCACCGCGCTGTGGGATGAAACACCACAGCCAGCTATCCAAAGAACCCGTGCGCGGTCTAGCTGACCCCGCTGCTCTGGTCACGCGTGGGGAGCGGGAGTTCGCGCCGGTCCCAGGCAGCCTAAGAAATAAAAAGTTGTGGCTATTTACCGGTCGGTGCTGTCCCAGGGCGCTGGTCTTACACCACAGCCCGGAGCTGCACTCAGCCTGGGCACCCGGCATCCAAGGGCTGGGTGGGTGGCCGGGAGCTGCGGGCCATCGCCCGGCCCGCCATTCTCCACCGAGCCCAGCGGAGCGGAGCCGGGCGCAGGGCGGACGCGGCCACTCTGCCCTTACGCCGCCTCGGCCGCGCACCGTCCGGTCGCCGCCCCCGGCCCCGCTGGCCCTCCCCTCCCGCGACCCGCTCTTCACCCGGAGCTCAGCCCAGGACCTCATGGGGCTTCGGTTCCACCTAGTGGCGCCGCGCTGCAAGGTACCACCCTCCCTCCGTTCCAAGCCCTGGGGCCGCACCTGCCACCCATCGACCAACCTGCAGCTCCCGAGTGTGACAAGTCCTTCCCCACGCGGATTTTCTAGCCACTCGTTCCGTTCGCCTTTACTTCTTTTCCTCTTCTACTAATGCACTGATTGACATGCTGGCCAGCTGCTGTTGCGTGTCTGCCGGACAGTAGTCACTGTGCACCTTGATGCTCTTCCATGGGAAAACCAGAGCCTGGAAGCCGGGTGGAAATTGCCACAAGGCCCCTGGCGGATGTCCCCAGTGTTTGGTCTAACGTCACTGGCTCCTCTTGCTGCGGTGAGAGCAAAGAGATTTCTTACGTGGCAAACAGTCTTGTGTATAAGCAAGGGAATGACTAACAGAGAACATCTAAAGAACCAGGTATTCCCCTGGCACTCCTCATCTGCAAATGACCCTGGCTTCCCAACTAGCTTTCCTGCAAAGCTAGTTGTCTGGACTGCACACTGTGTAAGATGACACTCTTCTATAACCTAACATGCAGTTCTATGCCCAGTGCTATGCACTGTATTATTATTCCCATCTTATAAAGGAAAGAGACAACACTTAGAGAAATTATATGGCAAACCCAAGTGTCCAACTCTGGAAAGCACAGATGGGACTTGCAACCTGGCAACCCAGCTGGGGAGCACATTACTCCACATGACATCCTCCTTAAGGAGCCCTAGTGGCCGTCAGGCATTATTCCTTCAAAATGCTCGAGGATTTGATTTGCAGTTTTCCGTCATCATCAGATTTTGGCATTTAGGTTGCCCTGACTTTGTTAAGTAGACTGGGCAGAGATTTCAATTCTTTTCTATTCTGAAACAGTTTGAGTGGGGTAGAAATCATTTGTTTCTTGCAGGGAAATAATTGGATCAAGGTCAATGGAGCTAAGGAGTTACAGACTAAGCTCTTTAACTCTTCCTGACTTTGAAAACTTTCTGTCTTCCATGTAGCATACTAATAAAAATGGGTAACACACACATTGTCATGGCATTCCATGAGCCACTAAATTCCACATGAGATACCCTTTCTCAGTTGTTGGGTTTTTTATGGCCAACAGGAACAAGAGTTTATTCCATTTGGGTTTTTTATTGCTTTTATATTTATTCATATGTGTATACACTGAATAAATGTATACACCTCTCCCTCTCTACCCCCTGACCCCTCCCCTCCTCCCCCACCCCACACACCCCTCACTTCCACCCTCTTGTTCTCCAATTTTGTTGAAGAGAAAACATAAGAGATAATAAGAAAGACAGCATTTTTGCTAGTTAGAGATAGAGATAGCTAAATAGAGAGAGTCCTAGAGTTGCTTCCATGCACATGTGTATTATAACCCATATTGGTTCATCTCTATCAGACCTCTTCACTACTGTTTGTTTATTTAATGTTTTGTTTTGTTTGGGCCTCATCTAACTATGTATGTCAAGATTCTCTAAGCCCTTGGGAAGAATACTTTGTTAAATCCTGTGCACTTCTCATCTTTGAATAGGATTCAATTAGCATCCTTTGTACCTTGCATAAAGGATAATGTTAGAGGAAACTGAAGAGAGAGGGTCCTTTCTATCTCGAGGCACATAATCCTAATAAGCAAATTGGACTCCCCTGTTCCTTTTGAAGGGTATAGTATCACTCACTGAGGAACACTGAGATTTCTTAGCCCAATATTCAGATAATCTTTGGGAAGTTAGCCACCAGATCTGGAGAGGAAGGTCTCTTTGCCAGTGTTTAAATCATAAAGTTCTTGTGGTTACTTTGCCAATTTTTTATTTAAGAGGGCCCTTCTATATTAGTCGCTACTTTAGGCTTCCCTATAAAACTGCTTCAAAAAATAACATGATGGGACTTTTGTTTGTTGGTTGGTTTTATGAGTGTGTTTGTTTTTGGCTGGTTGTTTTTTTGCAGTGCTGGGGGGGTGGAAGCCAGCACTTGTGCATGCTAGGCATGTGCTCTACCACTAAACCACACTCCCAGCTCACATGATATTCTTTCTACCTCCAAATTCTTTCCTTCTCTCCTTCTCCTTTGTCCATTGAACTCCTATTCTTTCTTTAGATTCCAGGTCCACACTTCCTTCTGGGAAGTGTGTGTCCCTTCTGCTCCATCATCCCAGCTCTGTATTGCAATTGTCTGCCTATCTAAAATTCTACCATACCCAAAAGCCCATGAACCCCCATTGATGTTCCCCATTGACTAGCATTGGTCAATATTCCCAGACTGCCGTCAAAGTCCTTTACCCATTGAGATTAGTTTGAGATTGGGCACATGATCCTATTCAAGCAAAGAGGTGAAAGCAGACACTTTTTAGAAACTTGTGGGAAGGAATTTTATCTTTCTCTGGTGGTAACTATTACAAGGCTACACTCTGTCTCCCCCACTGAGCATGACTAAAGGCCCAGTATAGTCCTATTTATTGCTAACTGCCAACTTTTCACTCCCAGCCCAGCCAAATTTGGTTGGACCAACCTGTGAAAGACTAAGCCTAAAAGACAGTGCAAAACCAGGACCTAGGGTTGTTGATCCACTGGGTCCAGACTGGTTCCAAGTCTGACGTTTCCTGGATTGTTCAGTTACCTAACTTAGTATATTTCTGTCATTATTTAAACTAGCTTAACTTAATTTTCTCATACTTGCAGCTATGAAGATCCTACAGTCTTTAAATTCTACTGCATACTTTCTTTTCTCTTGATTGTCCTATTAGATCAGTCTCATAGAAAGTTCAGCACATAGGTTTTACTTTTTGGACAATTTCTAAAAATATAAATGCACTGGGTAGAGTGATACAAACTGTTTCATGAAAAGGAGAAACAATCTTTTTCTCACTCAAGATGTTGGGATCTCATTTATGTGCTCTCAGCCAAACCGATGGCCATCTACTCCATGCAGGTTCTCTTCCATTTTCCAGAAAGTTCATTTCCACATCCGCAGTCAGGAGCACACTCTGCTTCAGTTTTTGTTGCTGTTTTGTTTTGTTGTTTCTTTTTCTTTCTTAGCTGGGCTCACTGTGTACCCCAGGTTGGCCTTGAAATCATGATCCTCCCACCTCGGCCACCCAAGTGCTGGAATTACAGGTCTGTACCACCACGCCAGCTCGCATCTTTACAGTATTCTCCGAGCTAATAACCTTTAACTGTTTCCGAATAGCTTTCATTTGATCCTTATTTTACATAGAGACCATACAGTAAGAATGTCAATTTGAATTTATTATGAATCTATCCTCTATCTCTTTCCATTTGTCACTACACAGTCCTTTCTTAAATTCATCAACAAAATTCACTTAAAATATTGTTCTTCCTTATTACAAAATTCTACTCTGCAAAAGAATGGCAGAAGACTGGTGAAAACATGCTCTGTTTTTGACAGAGGACCATTTCTCTCTTTCCATATCAGTCCCCATGAAACAAAGGAATACATTCAGTGGAACCATAAGCAAGAGATGCCTACAGTTCTCTACTCATTTACTAGCTAT